TGCTATTCAATCTATAACCGTGAAAAAATACTATTTTTTTTTTAAATCCAAGCTATTGTGACACCAGATCTAATTAGTGGCACTGGTCAGCGTATCCACTGTTGGCAGACAACTGACTGCTATTCAATCTATAACAGTGAAAAAAGTTTTTTGTTTTTAAATCCAAGCTATTGTGACACCAGATGTAATTGGTGGCACTGACTGGGGAAATGGGCACAGTATGCACTGTGAGCCTGACACAGAAGCTGGCAGCAGTGGCAGACAACTGACTGCTATTCAATCTATAACAGTGAAAAAAGTTTTTTGTTTTTAAATCCAAGCTATTGTGACACCAGATGTAATTGGTGGCACTGACTGGGGAAATGGGCACAGTATGCACTGTGAGCCTGACACAGAAGCTGGCAGCAGTGGCAGACAACTGACTGCTATTCAATCTATAACAGTGAAAAAAGTTTTTTGTTTTTAAATCCAAGCTATTGTGACACCAGATGTAAGTGGTGGCACTGACTGGGGAAATGGGCACAGTATGCACTGTGAGCCTGACACAGAAGCTGGCAGCAGTGGCAGACAACTAAGTGCAATTACATTACATAGAAATTTTTTTTTTTTAAAAGCATACCCTAACCCTAACCTAGCTATGCTTTTCCCTATCTAATGAACAGCAGCTACACTTTCCCTCCTCTCACTAAGCATGCAGCTTGAGAATGAATCTAAAATGGATGCCTTCCAGTAGGTGGGAGGGTCTGCTAGGGAGGGTGTGCTGCTAATTGGCTGGAATGTGTCTGCTGACTGTGAGGTACAGGGTCAAAGTTTACTCAATGATGACGAATAGGGGGCGGATTGAACCGCGCATATGTTCGCCCGCCATGGCGAACGCGAACATGCTATGTTCGCCGAGAACCGTTCGCCAGCGAACCGTTCGGTACATCACTACAGGTGGCCTGTGGTTACCCTGCACCAGACCCTATTTGTCCATTTCCATGCTGAGACTCCTATCATCTACAACAGGCACACAGAGGTCCTGGTCTTTGGACCGCCACCCGTGCCATTCTGTAACTGAGAGATAATTGAGTTACTAGGTTTTGACTCAATTATCTCCCAGACACAGGAATACCTGGGAGGGGTTTATGTTGTTTTGAATGGAGACCCGATGCTGGGGGTCTGTGCATAAAAGACTGAGTTTGTGCTGAATAAAACCAGTTGTACTCCCAGTTACTGTGGAGAGATAGAGCTTTTCACATTTCAGCGCCTTATTCCTGAGTTCCTGTTTCACGCATCCAGTGGGGGAAAGTCCTTGTCAGGACTAGAGCTTCACTACATCTGCAGTTCTCCAAAAGGACTCTGAAAGACTGATCACGACAGGTAAACATAGACAGCAATGAACCCTTTATCTCTCTATAAACTATAGAATATAGTATATACACTTTATGCTGCACCAATAAATACTTCACAATAAACCCTGCATGGATCTTTAAAATAAACACTAAATAGGATCCAAAATGAGTTCACGTTCTGAATTTATAGCAATCCCAGGAATATATGTAAGTAAGTTATTGTTTTCAGTTTACTTTCACTGCAAGTGTTGGTTCTATTTATTTAAAATCAACTAAATGTGTCTTTGTAGAAGACAATTTAGATGCTGGCTGTCCTAGACATCATGTCTACAAAATCAGTGATTTTTTGGAAATCTTAAACTAACTGTACGTTCCCTGGCTTGTCTCTCTCTGTTTATTGAAGCTAGATGATGGGAGAAAGATGTGAACTATATATTTTTTATTTTCTCCGTTTTGCATTTTAAGTAAAAAACATGCCTCTGGAATTCGGTAAAAAAAAAAAATATATATATATATGTCTGCAAACAATTTCCATGAATGAATTTTGTGAGTCTATCGTGGTAATTAGAAATTAGACTAAACTAATTTAAATCGTATTGAATAATTCTGGCACCTCATTTAACCATTCTTATATGGCTCTGTAGTTTATTCTCCTCTGAGAATACACTGCAGAACCCTAGCATTCTCAACTGCAATGTCCAATTAGGAGTCAGAGTTTTATTTGTCTTCCGTAAAGTGAAAAGAGAGCACCCAGGAACCACAAAGCAGGAGACAGTTAGTGTAGGCACTGGGCCCAGCATCTAAATAGGTTTGAAAGAAAATTCATTATTGTGAAATCTAATTGGGGATTACAACGACTTATTTTAGCGATTCCAAGAACCCAAATACCGTGTAACATGAAAGGCTCTAGAATAAGCCCTTTAAAATTAAACAGTTTATACAACTCTCTTATATCATGTGCATGAAAGCCTTTGGTAAGTATGTTATAACCTGCCAGTTACGTGCAAACAGTATATCTATCTCGTGAAACACAACGATTTTAGCAATGGAAACCATTTTGCCCAATTTGAAGGTTTTCTTCTGGCTGAGAGTCAGATGTTACAGTCCCCAAAACCTTGATGGCAGCTTATTTCACCTCTAGATTGCTCCAGTTTCACAGCAGAAAGAAAGTTGTGATGATGTCAGGTGATAAAATAATTAGTTTTATTGATTATTCAGTTAAATGAACATAACATTACCCTTTTATTGTTATTGAAGTGGTTGATACTTTTCCATCAATCATGTATTCGTCTGACATTCACCCAAACCTAGTTTAGACACTTACTATCTTAGAACCTGCTATCCTGTTCTAAAATACAACTCCCGTGACAATAAGCCATAAATGGGTCTTGCAAAGCACACACAGAGGGTGAGTTTCCTTTTGACTGACCGTGGTACCAGTACATACAGATGTCTAAATTTACTTTCTAGTCACTATGTAGCTTACAAAGGGACAGTTACATATAGATTAGTTCTAAAGAGATCCTCAGTTGTTAAGTTAATTTGATTCTCATGAGGTTTACCCAAGTGCAGATTCTTTGGTATTGTGAGTGTAAAAACAAGCAAGAATGACTCAAACCATGAATATACAAACCGCTAGATGACACATCGTAGGGCAAGTTGGAGAACAACATGATGTTTGATAGATGCATTCACAATATTTATTCATTAAACAGTAAGTTGTAGGGATGTGCATAGGCAAAAAATTTGGTTTGGTTCGGCACTTCCGAAATTCAGGACTTTGGCAATTCGAGACTTTGGCAATTCGGGACTTGGGCACTTTTTTCGGTTCGGCACATCCGAAATTCAGGACTTCTGAAATCCTGGACTTCGATGCGGCACTTCCGAAGTTCGGGACTTCGGCAATTCGACACTTCAGCGCTTCGGGACTTCGGGGCTTCGGCACTTTGGGAATTCGGGACTTCTGCAATTCCCTTACCCTACCCCTAACACTAACCCTACCCCTGCATTCTATGTCATTTAGGAGTTAAATCACTTTGTTTATGCAAGTCTAGGCACACCTCCCTGCATCTGACTTACACATCCTTCCTGAACACTTCCTGTAAAGAGTCATCTAATGTTTATACTTCCCTTTTTTGCAAATTCTGTTCCATTAAGAATGTATTCCCTGCTTTGATAAAAGCTTGCTAGACCCTGCAGGTGCCTCCTCTATGTGATTGAAGTTCAATTTACACAGCAGGAGATAAAAACAAAAAAAACAAAAAAAGTGATTTAACTCCTAAATTGCAAAGAATTGAGCAGTGAAACTGCAGGCACATAATGTATTCACCAAAACTACTTTATTAAGCTAAAATTGTGTTGGTGACTATAGTGTCCCTTTAAAATAGTTTTCAAAATATTTAATAATGTAAAAAGTGTATTCAGAAACATTAATTCATTTGAAAAACATCCAACAATATTAGAGTGAGGCCATGATTTGCAATGTTTTGAACAAAAAGGAGATCTAAAAAAAAAGTCTACAGTCAAGTCAGGTTGGAGATATTTTTTTAATGAAATGATAGTAACTTTGTCAATTGATCACATCTGCAGTTTAGTAAATAAATACTATGTGTACAGATCAAGTGCAAATATAAAATCCTTTATTTTAGTTTTATTTATCATTTAATGCATCATGTTCAGTTCATTTTATGCCCACACATTGAATGGGTCACTTTTCGTAGTAACTATTTATTTTATTTTAACATGAGTTATAATATTTTACTTAAAAAAATCCATAAACAGCTCCAATTAAACAGTTTGTTTTTGCTGTTATTTTCACTGAAAGACGTGTACAACATATCTTTTGCAATACAAAACGCGCCTGAAAACAATAAACGAAAAATGAATTCAGATGCAGAGCTAATTAAATTGTTTGTGTTTTTTGTTTGTGTTTAATAAAAGCAGTCGGAAGTATGACAAATTAGATTTGAAATCACAGGGAATTCAGCTGCAATTTCCCTTTATTTCTTAAACTTAATTTATTGCATTCACTGAGACAAATGCATTTAACAAACTGACAAGTTCAATTTCCTCACAGTTTTATAACATAAATTACTTATTATAAGAATCAGATTGTCAAATGCTGACTCTTTCCATTTCCCATCATCATTTTTAAAGAAATCAGCAAAGTGTTACCTTAAAACAACTGCCCGTTAAGAAAAAAAGGTGAGTTATTGTGTGAAATTATTACTCAAAATTGCCCCATGGAAAGCTTGTAAGTAATGGTGGAAAGAATGTATACATTATATACCTTTTATTGCTCCGATGCTGAGTCTAAATCCATTATATACCTTTTAGTGCTACGATGCCGAGTGTAACTAAATCCGAGAAATGACAGTATATCAGGTGTGACAAATTCTATTTCTGCTTTTTTTGTATTTCCTGGACTGCAATGCAACAGTAATCTGATTTTATGGAATAAAATCCAAGAAACTACTGCAGCAAGATTTAATATGAGCTGTGAAAATAAAATATTTGCTTTTTTTCGAGGAGCCATCAAGTAATCTTGGACGTTTTCTCCCCTGACTGTGTTGTGTTTTATGTGTTCAGCTTGAAAGCCAGATCTCCTCCACAACAAATTAAAATGCCTCAATCCACATGACTAAAGGTTAAATAAACGTTATTCTTGTTTGACATTGTGACTGGGAACGCAGGAGGAGGCGATGGATCAACAATCATGCGTTTTCTACCTTTACCTATACATTGTTGTCGCTGCTGGAGTGCCGGCAAAAGCATTATGGGAAATGTAGTCCACAACAGCTGGAGGGCTGAAGGTTTTCCACCACTGATTTAGAACATGCTTTGTTGTCTCCAGCTATTCCTGGGTCTTTCATTTGTGGAGATTTAAGCGTGTGTCATATTCTATGTCATTTTCCTGGTTGACAAACACTGTTGAGTAATATTATTTTTCACGTGATCCGTTCACTGAGGCTGTTATCAATTAAAGGCAACGATAAGCTGAAGTTTTAGGGATCATTGACCTCATGATCTTTAGTGAAATCAGACTAAAACAATGTACTGCTGTCTCCAATGGTCATCATGTTGTCAGCAGGGATCTACATTTTGATCCTTAGGACCCTCTTGTAGCCAAAAACAGTGGTTAGGACAATGGTAATATTTAAAGCCTTATAACAGGGAAACCCACGTTTAAAACTGGTCAGGCAACCTCACCAGTAAGTATCACCTAACAATATATCCACCTACCTAACATCCAGAGTATGTTCTCACACTCTGTACGATGAGTGCTGCTTCTCCTTTTCACCATCAACAAAAACGGTGAGGTGAAGGGCTACCATGACCCCAAGTCCCAATGCTGTTACGCTCGCATAACAAGGTACCAGAGGATGACAAGCACCTTGTTCAAAGCACTGCTCCATCCCTCCCCACATACAGGCATTTAAATTATATTTATAGAATGGTATTTCTTTTATTTCTTTGACATATTTAGGGACTGGCTAAGAAAGGTTACTTAGATTACCGAATGAGGCATGAAACCAGGGAACCTCTACATATATATGCCTAGCTGTAGTAAAACTACAACACCCATAAGAAAGACAAAGTGCCTGTTTAATTGTGCCGCATATAGAGATATATTTTTAGAGCAACGCTGCATGAAACAATTACTTTATATCCCGATCAGCAAAGTTCGAGTCAGACACATTTCTTTTCCAACTTGCCTATTTTGGTAAATATGTGCAATCAAAGCTTTTTTTTTATTAACAAACACCCAGGTTTACTTTTATTTCATTATAAAAAGTTATAAAAAGGTTTAAACAAGCATGCCTTGGTTTCTAGTATGTTCGTCTTGTTTGTGCTTTATGTCACACGTCATTGGAAGGTATGTTTTTGGTTTGATACAACCCCTTTTTGTTTTCTGTATTCCTCTCATGTTTTAAAAAAAAAAACAACAAAAAAACCCAATAAAATAGACATTATAAAAGCAAGCATTCCTGTGAACTTATTACTCAGTGTAGCATTTGTGCACAGTGAGAATTGACATTTCTTCCACACATATAATCTGATTTAAAAATTAAGATTCATCTGGAAAGCCTAAAATAAAAGAAAAAAACTTGCATACAGTGTCCTTTTAACCAAAAAATACTCTCAAAATTAGTGACTCTAAGGTGAAATGTGAAAATTCTGAAAAACAACAAATCACCCGAAATTCATCTGAATTTCAATGCAGATCGAACCACATCTCCAGGTTTAAGCAGTCTCATATTTAATGTGAAACAGAAATAGGTGAGTAGCTGATAATACGTTCAATATAATGAATGGTTAATAATAAGTTCAGTATTTACTTGTGACTGAGTGCGAAGGGGATCACTATGTTTATACTTAAAGGGCAGTTGTCATTTAGACCTCTATTTTCACAGGGATGGTTTAAAACAATATTTTGAACCAATCAATTGTCACCTCTGAATAAATATATGGCCTCTTTCAAGCTTATTTGATTTCTTTTGTAAAACAGATACATAAATCTTCTCATGCAGAAACCAAACACTTCTGCCCTGTTTGTCATGTCAGATGCATGAAGACAGTCTGTATTGAAATGGTAAAATGCGTCACCAATCAATATGTTTGATAGCTCAAAATACTTCAAAGACATAGCACATCGTAACTCTCAGAGATAATTCCATTGGACATTAACTCGTATTTTATCTAAACAATCATCTGTGCTAATAAACTGCTTTTTTGTTTTTAATCATTTGAAAATAAATTGTTTTTTTACACTTAGAGTATTCTGGCCGGGGTTACATTTGGATATCGATGCACAGTGATAATGAGAATCTCACAGCACATTGTGATGAGAAAGATTTATCTACCAATAAAAGTGATGTTTATGTCACAATTGCAGGTTTTACCATTGCCAACTTCACCGGAATTTTCATAAATACTTTAACAGGTTTATTTACTAAACTGAAAGTTCAAATTTAAGTGTCAAAATACACAAACTAAAAAACAAATCTCTAGCAGTGTTTCCTTCTCTGGCTCTGCCTTTTCTCCCCAATCCCTCTCTGTTGGTGTTCCCTCAAGGGTCTATCCCTGGTCCCCTATTGTTCTCAATCTATACTGCACCCCTTGGTAAACTCATAAGCTCCTTCGGCTTCCAGTATCATTTCTTTGCAGATGGCACACAAATTTATCTGTTCTCCCCTAATTTCACACCACCCCTCTTGACTCGTGTGTCTGACTGCTTCTTTGCTATTTCCAACTGGATGGCTGCTCATTTCCTTAAACTGAACTTGTCCAAAACAGAACTTCTGGTCTTTCCTCCCTCAAATGTTGCTACTCCCTTGTCTGTCTCCATTCAAGTCAATGGCGCTACCATCCACTCTACCTCTAAGGCTCGCTGGCTAGGTGTTCTCTTTGACTCCGACCTCTCCTTCCCCACTCAAGTTCAATCAATCGCCAAATCCTGCAGCTTCCATCTCAAAACTATTGCGAGCATCCGACCCTCTTTAACGCCTGATACAGCAAAGGTGCTTGTCCATGCTGCTGTCCTCTCTCGCCTTGACTACTGTAATCTGCTTCTCAGTGGTCTTAAGTGTTCCCAACTTGCCCCATTACAGTCTATAATGAATGCAGTGGCAAGGCTCATCTTCTTGTCCGCCCGCACCTCCCACCCTGCGCCCTTTGTCAGTACCTACATTGGCTTCCAGTAAGATATAGGACTCAATTTAAGATCCTGATACTTGCCTATAAATTGCTACACAATGCTGCTCCGACCTACTTATTATCATTATTGCACAAATATGTCCCGTCTAGGCCCTTACGCTCTGCTGGAGACCTACGTCTAACCTCTGTTCATACTCCTACCTCTGACGCTCACCTTAAAGACTTCTCTAGGGCTGCACCGTTCCTATGGAATGGCCTTCCCTCTCTGTTAGACTTTCAGCCAATCTCCACTCCTTCAAAAAATATTTGAAAACTTATGTAACGGATCACCTGTACTCTGACCGAGTACCTTCATTTGACAGACGCTTCAAAGCTTGCGCCGAGGACCACAAGCACCGCACCGGACACCACAACCACCACAGAGTCCACAACCGCCGTAGCTTAACTGGAGTCTCGCCGTCTTCCCTCCACGCTGGATCAGCCTCTGTCCTCCAGGACCATGTGTGAAAGACCTCTTCTCCAGGAGAGGGTATCAGGAACAGCTCTTAAAAGAGCTAAGTGATTAGAGCTCAGGGGAGTATACAAAGTATAGCAATCCCCAGTGTGATTATAGCAGTTCACCTCCAATCACAAGACAAGACAAGACTACTATGTTGAGGGTCAACGGGAACAGAATGCACTGAGGCTTTATTGTTTCTTTTATATACTTTTGCCACAAGGTTACCACCCAGGTGGACCTTGTTGGACACTGAAAAAACAAATTCAACAGCCAATAGTTTACAGTCACACAGTCACAGTCACAGATAAACACTCCCATTCATTACAGTGAATTCCTCCCCTCTGCTTGGGAGATAATTTAGTTAATTGCTGTATCAACACAATTATCTCCAAGCGAAAAATATACTTTTTACACATTTTTCATAACTTCCAAATTATACATGTAATTCCAATAAAAGTTACATTTTCTGAACCAGCATAATTAGGGAACCAACATATCCAAACATCAGAGAAATACACAATAGAAGGGAAAAGGGCGCTATACACAAAATACTACAACTGGTGCAGCTTAAAAACACCTCGGTGTACAGTCACTTATTACACCAAATGAAAAAAAAAAGTGAACAGAAAAAAAAGGTGAAAGAGCACAAACAGTGGAATATTTTACCTTTCAAATCTTGTATAGGTCCTGTTTTCAGCAACAGACAGTAACTGTGGACCCTATATATAATATATACAAGAAAACAACATAGTGTATACTGTTGAAACCTATTTACAATATGTGGAGAATAAAAAAGGTTCACTCACACTTTCCAGAGCCACATAAGTTAGGCTCTGGACTGTAAAGGTATTTCATCCACCAAGGGATACACTGGATCTGATCCTCCTCTTAGATGTTTATAATAAGTTTTTCTAAGCAGGAACTCAGGAACCAGGTAAGGTGAAGTGTTAAAATAAACATTTATTTGGTATAAAATAATAAAAGCAGAAATTGCTGACACAGCAGCTAGCACAACGCGTTTCGACCCTCCAGGGTCTTTTTCAAGTGCAGTATATCCTCCCATATGCTGACCCACCTATATATGCCTCCAATTTACCATATTGGAGACAGGTGTAGCAGCAGGAATTGGTAATTGAATGTCCATATTTGGTCATTGCAGGAAGCATCTCGTCACCACTAGGATAGTGGTGCTTCCTGTTTTGACATACATAAATAAAGAGAGGGGAAAATAAATAAATAAAATGCTTCCTGTTTTGACATATATAAATAAAGAGAGAGAGAAAAAATGCTTCTTGTTTTGACATACATAAATAAAGAGAGAGAAAAACTAAATAAAAAATAATAAAAAAAAATAAAAAAGGGAAGGGGGGGAGAAAGAAAACACATGTTCATTTTAATATCTGGGATTCCAAGATGGCCATACCTTTACTTCCGGTCAGTGTCTTCCGGGGTTCCAAAATGACTGTGCGTCTACTTCCGGTCGACTTGTTTTCAAAATGGCCATGCGCCTACTTCCATTTTTTTTTTCTCTCTGCCCAGCATCCTTGCCGACTGGGGGTCTTCCTGGGACCAAGCTATGAGGTCCTGGTACTTTCGCTCCAGATCCCATTCCCTGATGGACAAATTAATCAAGTCTGGCTCTAGGTCTTCAGCCATAGGGAGATCCAGTACGGCTGCTCTGTATTCATGTATGTCCCAGAGCCGTGACTCTTCAGTGTCCCTGAACCTCGGTCCGGCAAAGGCGTCCCATAATAGGCCAGGGCAATTATAATCCTCGCCCTCTGGTCTGTCGTACTTAGCCATCCCGGGAACAAGCTGAACTGCATACTAACGTAACACCTGGTATGCGTCGTTGAGCTACAGTTCTCTCTGTGCCACGAAATTAAGCTGCCTCACCAACTCCCACCTGGGCTTCTCTCCCAGCATAGGCATCGACATTGTCACTCGGCTCTGTAGTCGCTGCTCCTCGCTGGGGAGACGCTCACCTTGCCAATGCTGGACACCCTCCAAGGTTTCGTCCCACATCTCCTCTCTGATGTACTCTCTGCAGTCCAACCGGATCGCCTTTGATACTGGCTCATTCAATGGGTCCAAGAGGCTCTGTAACGTCCAGTCAAACTCATCCTCCATTTCAAGCGCTGTCCAGGGACTAGCTGGCTCCATATCGCTCCGTAATAATTCCGGTGTCTCCAGGGTGCTGTTCCTCTCACTAGAAAGCCATTCCACCACTGCCACCAATGTAACGGATCACCTGTACTCTGACCAAGTCCGATGGACGCTTCCCAGCTTGCGCCGAGGACCACAAGCACTGCAGACTCCACAACCACCGTAACTTAACTGGAGTCTCACCATCTTCCTTCCACCCTGGATCAGCCTCTGTCCTCCAGGACTGTGTGGGAAAGACCTCTCGTCCAGGAGAGGGTATCAGGAACAGCTCTTAAAAGAGCTAAGTGATTAGAGCTCAGGGGAGAATACAAAGTATAGCAATCCCCAGTGTGATTATAGCAGTTCCCCTCCAATCACAAGACAAGACTACGTGTTGAGTGTCAAACAGGAACAGAATGCACTGAGGCTTTATTGTTTCTTTTATATACTTTTTCCCTCAAGGTTACCACCCAGGTTGACCTTGTTGGGCACTGAAAATACAAACTCAACAACCAATAGTTTACAGTCACACAGATAAACACTCCCATTCATTACAGTAAATTCCTCCCCTCTGCTTGGGAAATAATTGAGTTAATTGCTATATCAACACAATTATCTCCAAGCGAAAAATATACTTTTTACACATTTTTCATAACTTCCAAATTATACATGCAATTCCAATAAAAGTTAAATTTTCTGAACCAGCATAATTAGGGAACCAACATATCCAAATACCATGTGAATTGGTCCAGTGGTTCGGGAGATAGCTGGAAGTCACATTTAACCGGCCGCAAGCATGGCTTTCCTGCCCAAACCAGTTCCACAGATTTGCACTGTGAGGCCGATCTATTCGCCATAGTCAAATACTGTTCAAATGCATGAACAGAGGCCTTTTGTGAAAACAGGTAATATTAATGTGGCATTCGTATTGTCGAACGCCGTTCGACTACTGTCGAAGTGTCAGAGAAGGTAAAAGTTCAGTGGTGTTTGTGCCATCGCGTATCCGATTTTAGTTCCATGAACTGCATTCGGCTAAATTAGAATGGCCGCTGCCACGTGTTTGTATTCACGAATGGCGGTCCCTTCGACTACTTCGGCTGCATCCGAAGTGCCACTTCAAAAGTGCAGAACTGTAACAGTACAAATTAAAGAGTCTCCAAAATACAATAGCCATAAAAAGAGGTTTTTAAATGGCAATACCTCCCAGTGCCAATAGTCACAAGGAAAAAGGCTAGCCATTAGTCCTCTCCAAGAACAAGTGGCAAAGGGCACTTCGTCACAACTTTCTTTTTTAGGAAAGCATATCAATTAAACTGTAATCAGCTTTCCCTTCCTGCACCCTAATTTCTCTCCTGAAACTGTCATCAAAACAAAACTATAAGCCCTCAATGCACACTATCCTAGCATGTGATAGGGGATTTCAAGTAGCCTTATAAAATTTTAAAATGTATTTTAATGTGTGCGCTGTTCCTTAATTTGTATTATGTATGAATTTTGGTCACTACGGTAGCACTATTCCTGTAAAATGCATGTTTCGGTTGTTGCCCCAAATCCTTTTTGTCTTTACTGTGCAAGAATTGAAAGACTGGGAGAGCAGAAGAGACCTTCTACCAGAGGTCTCACTACTCTCCAATGATAGCAGACATAGCAGGAGCTCATTGTTGATGTCCCGTTTCTGTCATTAGTGGTCTGGTCTGAAGAAACTCCCCAAGCTGGGAGGAATTCCCAACAATTCAATCTGACTAAGTTTACAGCAAGTTTATTACATACGTTTCAACATTTTTCTTGCTTAATTTGGTTTGTATATTTGTTTTACAATGCTTGCTGGATAAAAATAAAATTGTCAAGTGATGCATGTCCCTTTAAATATGCTGATTCCTGCTTCGGAGGAACTAACATTCGATATAGAAACATGCATTTGCAATGCTGAAGGATATTTCTAATAAACAGGAAAACACTCCAATGCTAGACATTTAGATTTAGTTTATATTTCTAATGTTAGAGTGCTTTTTAAAGACTATTTAAAATATGTTAATATAGTTGAAGGACTAAACTTGCATTTTCAATTATCTTGGTCGCTACAAGAAGGTTTTTATGCAATAAATAAAAAAAGCATGTTCTCCTTTTCTTAAATTGTGAATATTAAAACAAACCATCCAGTGCATCAAATGTATAAGAAACACACTAGGTGATAGCTATATAGCAGCAACTAATTCTCTCATCCGCAGCAAGTCAAGCTACATGTTAGGACAGATGTACATTGTACGGGGAGAGGAGACAGTGTGAAGGTAGAATGTTAGTCTTTAATTCAACATCTGCCATAGAATGGTAGGAAAAGTTAGGGGATTAGTGCACTAAATTCAGGATAAATTACTCACTAAATCATATGTCCATGGGCACCCGCAGGGGGGGAGGGGGGTGAGGGAAGGTGGATTTTTCAGCTTGTGCCGATATTTTTCTTGTGAGATTGAGATTCAGGATACACTGCAATACCTGTGTATGGAGAAAGGCAGGGATAGAAAGCTACATCTTATCCCAGCTTCTCTCTCCTCACTGTAGCCCCATGTAGCCAAAGCGCAGCTAAGCGAAAAAAGGCCTTGACAGGGGTTAGGAGGCGGGCATAGGAGGAGGGAAGGAAGTAGGGAGTTATGGGTAAGTAGGCTTGGCTATTTAAATAGGCAGCCATTTTAAAGCCTTCACTTTTAATTACTACCTTGCTGAGTTTGTGTGCACTCCTGTGTCCACAGATTTGGTTTGGTGGGGTCTTTGTTTTCTCTCCTTCTGCAGGGTCGAAGGATAACATGGAGGAGCTGTTGGAGCGGATCCGGTTGGCGGCTCAAGGACGTGGCGTGGACTGGCTGCGGGCGCAACTTGGACCAGCCCTGGCGGGTGCTGCGGATCATGAGGGCGGCGGAGGTCGGCCTGTGCGGGCTCGGAGGCCGCCGAGACGGCTGAGCCCA